CTTCTATTCAGTTAATAATTTCTTGTATATGGTGACGTAATCAGTCATTACTGGCAATTATTTATTACATACACCTCTTCATCCTTTTTGGATTGTTCCTTTTTTTTGTACACCTTTATTTGAGAACAATTGAAATGTCAATGAACCAAAAAAGGCGAGTTGTTTGTGTGTGTGTGGAGGGGGGGATGGTGATGGCGTTAGAAGAACAACGAGGAGAAGGAGGAGGAGGCGGGAAGTGAATAAGGAAGAGTAATGCAGCATCATAATTAAAAATTACACAACAGAGACGATTTTTTTCTTTATTTCTCAATCTGTCTACATCCCCTCCCCCTCCATCAACAATTTTTGCCGTATGCCTATTGCGTAATATTGTGTCACTCACACACACACACAGAGAAAAGAGGTGTGTATTAAGATGACAGGAGAGGATATAGGTCAAGTGGTACTCACAAATAATAATAATAACCGTAATAATAATATTGATTGTTTTATGTCAACATGTATGGATTGTGTAAAATATTTGAAAGAGTTAGTCAACACTTCACACACTGGAATGCTGTAGTCCGGTGGTGGAATCTCACTTCAACTCCTCCTGGTGGTGTATATGTGCATGTGTGTGTGTGTCTGTGGGTGTCGTAATAATGGACGTATTATGTGCAGAAGAATACTTGTGATTCACCTACTCTTTTGAAATAATCAATAATCAGTAGTAATAATAATAACCGTTAATTATAATTTGGATCGCATACATGTAACAATTTAGAGTGAAGATTTGTTTGTCAGGTGGTGTATTCGGTCGGTGTGTGTGTGTGTGGGTTGGAGTATGAACAGAAAGACACTTAAGATGGATGGATATCTTTGTCTGTATGTAGGTGGGTGGGTGTTTACTGACAAAGATTCGCCGAACAGAAGGAATAACAACAGTCAAAAGGAAATGATTCAAGAACGAGAATCAGCTTAGAAGGAATATACACATATATATTATTGATAATTAATTAAGGGCGTCATAAATGGTGAAGGGATGAGAAACTCCTCCTCTCCTAACTGAATTTTCCCACCTGAACACGTTCGATTATTGAAAGTTCATTGACGAAGTAATTATTATCATTATTATTTTTCAAGAATTGGTTTTTGTAGGGATTGTATTTGTCTCAGGTTTCATCCTACTTTGAGACTCATCACCAGTATGCACCCACCACAGGGGTTTCGAACCCAGGACCTTCCGGTTACAAGGCGAGTTAGCTTGTAGACCATTCAACCACTGGGACCCAATTCAATGACCAGTCCATGAGTTCTAACTTCTACCAATTCGACCTCCAACCAATGTCATCGATGGGGCATCCGTCCTGACTGCCGACTGGATGGACTCCACTAGTGACGACTTCTCATTTCTTCCTGTAGCCGGTCACTAGAGAGCATCAGATTAATTTTCAACAATTAGGCTGTAGAGATCGTGCGTCAATGGCACAGAGGTAGAATGCTCGCCAACCATGCCTCATTTGGTCCGGGGTTCGACTCCCGACCTACAAGGCACTCCTTTGCCTCGCTAAGCCATTAATTAATAAGACTAGTAAAGGGGATGGGTAGGTTGGGCATGAGGCTAGCAACCCCATCCTGTAAAAATAAACACCAATGCTACCGAGACTTCAAGCGTCTAGCCTGAAGCCCACTATGCTGCATTGGGAAAGTGAATGAATAAGAAAAGGAAGTTTGTAGCGATTGTATTTGTTTTAGGACGAAGTTCAACAATAGCGTCCCAGGAGTGTGAACGCCCCAATGACCTTGAACGCATGCTAGTCGTTCGCCAACGACATCTGTCCCTATCACCGCTGAAATATCAACGCTATTCACCAACTTAGGAGTAAATTTCACCCAGATCACGTTTTTAAGTACTGTTTGGACAATGTGTTGATAGCTCGTTAGGGTTAGGATTAGGGTTAAGGTAAGTATCGGTGTTAGGGTTAGGATCAGGGTTATAATTAGCATTAGGGTTAAAATTACGGTTTGAATAAGGGTTATGATTAGGGATAGATTTATAGTTGATGTCATTTATTTTAATGTTTTTTATTATCCACACTTTCCTGGTAAGTAGTCGTCTATCCTCTTGCTGTAAACCATAGTAATTCAACCGAGGGCTTTTTTTGGAAGACTACAAGCGGGATGAGAGAGATAAACATTTCACCAAAACAGTTTATCTCAAGTCACCTCGGTGAATACATGTACAGAAACTAGTCTAACTTAGCAACTGGTACTCCTCGTTATAACTAGAACGTCTTTTTAAGCCATGTGTCAGAGAAAGATAACCTGTTTAATGCGTTTTCAAGCATTTTCTTGTCAATATACATCATTTTTTGAGCAAACATTCCTCATTTTTATGATTGGTCAGCCGAAGGTCACTCGTGAGTTCGCACTCCTGGGACGCTATTGTTGAACTTTGCCTGTTTTAGCTTAGACCACGGACTAACATCAGTTAGACGATCATTGAAAACCATTATTATTATTATTATTATTAGTTGATAGACTTCATGTTGGATAACTGAAAATCGGTAATTTTAACATAAGCATTTCCCACTGATATGTTTCATTTTGTTGAGTAGGAGGAATATGAAAGAATTCTGAAATATTGTTCACACCACTTTTCATCACTTCCAAACATTTCCGTATATTGAAATAAGAACAAATTAGTTCAGTGAAGAGTCTCTTTTCGGCGAATTCATTCACTTAGCTGTACAGTCACAAATATATACAATTAATTGTGTGTGCGTGTGTGTACATTAGGTTTGTCAAAATCAAAATCAAAATAACAGTTAGTGTGGGTTGTTGATTATATCATCAAAATAATAAAGAAATTAAAGTGTGTGATTAATAATCAAAGTTGTAACTAAGTGGGGTGAAGATTGGTAAGATGTGAGTAGGGTTACGTAATATAGACATGTTTAGAAAGATTAGATGTTAGTGGAGGAGTATGGAGAGAATTATGAAAATAAACTAGATAATAGGTGAAAAGATTGAGTGGGTTAGTTACTAAAATTATTATACGAAGATTGCCAAAAAAATTTGATAACAAAATGTTGATGACAGATAAACTTGAAATTAAACCCACGGAAGTAGGAGGGGGTGGAGAAGTTTGTCCTGTGTGCATAAATCAGGCTTTTCTATCCAAATCGCTAAGGCTTCAGCAATACAAAGTATACGGAAGCTTGTCGATTTTGGAAGGCTTCTTTTGACTTTATAGATGACTTTGAACGACTTCTCCTTGCAAATCGAATGACCAGTGTTGAGTATATGCTCAATAATGGCGCTCCTTATTGCTCCGTTGTTACCTTTCCGTAGCCAGGCGGGATAGTGTTCTTGAACTCTCTTAGATAAAACTCGCATCGAGCGACCTATATACCTCGCTCCGCAAGAGCAGGTGAATTGGTAGATACACATGGAAGTGGTCAAATGCGATAGTTTATCTTTAGAGTAGTTGAAGAACAATGGCCGGGAGGAAAATGTCAATCGTAATGTGGCAGCGAAGAATGTCCTTCTGAGGGCAGTAGATATCCTCTTCTTCAAGGTGTCAGTCAGAAGGTCACCTTTGAAGGGTACATTCATGTAGACCATCTTCTTCTGCACTGTAATGGGTTGTTCTTTGTGAGTCTTAGGCTTAATATGCTTGTCTATAAAAAGGGGTGGGTAGCCATTCTCGAGCAGTGTCTTCCTTAAGAGGGAGATCTCTTCCTCTATTGATTCAGGACTACAGATTTTTCGGATTCTAGTCGCTAGAGATATTATCAAGTTTCGCTTGCGACTAATTGGTACCCAACTGTAGAAGTTTGTCAACTGACCGTTCCATGTAGGTTTTCTGTGTACTGATCTGTTCAAGGTACCATCGGTCTTCTTACTTAAACGAACGTCCAGAAAGGAGATTGTCTCATTGGTTTCTACTTCGATTGTAAATTTGATGGCTGGGTGGCAACTATTGAAAACTTGAAGAGCAATATTTTGATCACAATTGTTATCGCAGATGACGAAAGTGTCATCAACATACCTTTTGTTTAAGAAGAACTGGTCGATGGTTGCTTTCAGTGGACCGTTTTCCAAACTTGCCATGAAAATATCAGCCAGCACCGGACCCAAAGGTGATCCCATCGCCACGCCATCCTGTTGTCTATAGAAGTTCCCATTGAATGTGAACTGGGCATTTAGGGTGCATCTGAGTAGGAGTTCTTTTAGCTTGGTGCTAGGTATTCCAATTTCCGTATATAGTTAAATTCAAGAATCTCTAAAACTACAGCTACATGAGTAATGAATGTAATGACAATCATCGAGGGTTATTCAATAACCACCAGACTAAACATAGTCAGATTCAGCTGGAGTTCTAGTGAGAATTCGTGACCAGTGAGGTCAGTTAAGTTGAGTATGAAGGCAAACACTCACCTATCACATTGACTGGTGTTTGTGCTATATATATCGATTTGCCACTGAATTCTGTCCCAGTTGGTTGTATGGTTAACGAGCTCACTTCTTTCCCTGGTGGGGTCATGGGTACCTAGTTCTGAATAGTCTCGAACCAGGGCGAAGTAGCTAACCAGTTCCTTCCAGTTTTCATTGGCTCAATTCATCAAACTTGATTTTCTCAATGTTAATCAGTGGTAGGTGTGTATAAACTCACTGATGCCTTTTAACTTGAGTGACCGTGGACAGTTCAGCAAGTGGAGTGAGTAATCACGTATTCTGACATCAGTCTAACGAGGTTGAAAGATGGAGGAATTGTAGGGTAAGTTGAGGTATCTATGAATGCAACCGTGTCAGTGTATTTACTTCCCTTTTCTAATTTTTACCGTAGAGTTAGTGATTTTATTTGAACCGAACCATCACCTTCTTTTCTTTTTCTCTCCTCCCTTTTTCAACCTACCCACTACCATCTTGAACCCATCTTCCCCCCCCCCCCAACCCAATCACATACATCACCGAATCTCATCAACTGACACTCAATTCAACTCATTTCTTCACAGGATTAATAGCCAAAGCAATATTGAGTACTCAGGAAAGACGGATGATACTCTCCGAGATCTATCAATGGATCCAGCTACGTTATCCATATTTTCGTACACGTGGTCCTGGTTGGCGTAATTCAATTCGACATAACCTGTCGTTGAATGATTGTTTTATTAAAGTTGGTAAGTCAATTTATTTACCCACCCCCCCTGAAATAAGATATCTTCCCCACCCCTTCTATTCTGCATATAATTAATGTTGAATGATATATTCTCATCAGCCAGCCAGTGGGAATGACATACACGGCATCATCAAGTGTATTGTGTGTGTGTGCGTGTATGTGTGTGTGGATATGGCTGGTGATGTCGTCGTCATATACAGTCAATCTAGTATGAGTAGTGGCTGAATATCGAGAGTCTTGCATTAGAGGTTGATTGCTCATTCGCTTGAGTGCCATTCGAATGTGTCATGTGTATTATAACAATAAGAGTGATTATATTATGGTCAAGCAAGTCGGTCGTGTTAGACGACATACGAGGGATGGGGGGCCCACAGATACACCAAGTACGATTTGTCCATATTGTCACTATTACTAACAATAGTAGTGTAGCCATTTCGTACATCTTTATGTAGTAAGGATTCTTAGGATGTTTATCCATAAGTACAGTCTCTAAATATATTGGTAATCGATAATATGTCATCAAATATCGTCTGATTTTCAGTCGAAAACACACTGCTTTCCGACACAATGTTTCCCATCCGTTGATTTCGATCGAAAAGTGTAGAAGTATCAGTTGAAAAGTATTCATAAAGGCATTACGGTATGTGCTACTGATTATTGGATATCAGTAGTTGGAAGCCAATCACAAATCAAACAGGAGTGCTTGCTAGCCAGCCCAGCCAGCCAGCCCGTCAGACTGAAGTGATCTGAACAACGGGCAGCCATTTCGTTCATTTAACGACCAGCCCATCAGCAGCAGGGTACCCGGTTTGACTCATTGCAGACAGGTGGGTCAATTAAAACCACGGGAATTCTGGTCAGCTATCTAGCTAAGCACTACACAGTTGTTGATGTGAGTAGTACTCAACCCCCCCCCCACACTCATCTCCATCATTCAGCAGTATACAGTTTTATGTTGTTATCTTTGCCCTCCTGACTACCAATTATGCTATCAAGCAGGTCACATGCACTTTTTGTCCTGAGTCAGTACCTATTTCAAAAGAGACTGTGGTCGAATTTCACTTCCTCGAACTGTGGAATCTGCAAATTGCGAATTCAGTTTAACTGACGGTAGCATCTAAGATTCTAGGTTCCGGAATCATCTGAAGGCTAAAAGTAGTCTCAGACTGAGCAAACTGGAGTAAACCAGGTAGGATTCATTCCCGGATGAACACGAACACACCTGACGGTGTCCAACACTTACCATATTTCTTGTCCTCGAGATAGCATTTCACTTCCTGAAAGAGATTGTTGAGGAAGTATACTGAACTAATCAAGGCATTCTAGTCGGAGTGATTCAGCTGTGGAAGAGCTGACCTACACACTTCGTCGTGGAATTTCACTACAGTCTCCATTATGGAATCGAGATTATTCACATCACACACTGAATACGTGATCTGCTTGATAACAAAACTACCAGTCAGGAAAGTGACGATAAAAGCCTGACACCTTATATACTACTAATTGACTGATTGATCGGTTGATATAAGTAGTACTTGGATACCACTCACATCACAAACAGTAAATTCCATTCAAAACTCTATTCATCATTCCGCTATCTCCAGAGAAGGAAGTAGCCAATGTCAATGATCGGAGGTTACATGGAACAAGCGAGTGACACTAATGACGCTTCCATCTAGCCACACATTAGCGTAGGTAGATACCTTTATAGTCAGTGAGACTTCATCCAACACCATGAGAACAGAAATAACAGTAAGACAGACGTCTTCTATCCGACACTGTATGACACATTCTGAGATTCAGATTGAGTTGTGCAGTACAAATATGTGACACACCATTTGACACATGAGTGCACCAACGTCAGATACATACACACCAGTTGAAAGGGCACCATTCATTAGGTTGTTCAACGTGTCAGTTGATGGTTTGCGAATGATAACGCGATGTGTTGCGGTGAGCAAATAAGTCACACACAAACACACACAAACAGGCAGAAGTGCAGTGTAGATGGGACAAATTTCAAACTAGGTTGGATGGATCTGTCGATCTCATGGTATCCGAATAAAGTGTTTACCCACTTATTTAAAAGAACTCACACTATTCTCATGGAATCATTATTGTCGTGTCTGTGTTTCTTTTGTCTTTCGATTATGACAGGTAGAGCTGCCAATGGGAAAGGACACTACTGGGGAATACATCCAGCCAACTTGAAAGATTTTCTCAGTGGTGATTTCAGACGGCGAAGAGCTCAGAGGAAGGTACGTCGAGCATTGGGATTGACACGTCCTGGTGATCGAGACGATGTGGATGACACTGACGATGACGATGAGGAGGCCGATGAAGATGACGGTGAGGAGAAGTTGGGTGTGGAGATGGGAGTGAATGACAGAGACGATCGTTATTCCCTAATCACTTCTCAAATTCCATCAGCTCACTTCATCTCACGACGAACTGTCAAACATCCTTCAAATGTATCTAAATCTGTGAAGACAATCACACCGTCAGTAATGACAACATCACATCAGCCATCTGCACAATCAATAAACAGAAGTAGCACACAGACAACCGCGTCTGATTCATCACAAACCAATTCACTCAATCCATATCACTCACACCAGACAATCAATATGATGTCTCCCATTGTCAATCAGTCATTCAATATCCCACTCACTCACACTACTCATCTCCAACACCACAATACACCTCCGTTCACCTGCAATACCCCATTCACAACAGTCGGAATGAACACATCGAATGAATTGAAGGCAACACTAGAGACATTGAAACACTTCAAGTATTTCTATCCCAACACACAAATCAATATTCCCCCGAGCAGTAGGTTGAATGTCAAAGACACATTGACAGATTTATTCTATGCTAATTTAATGCATCTATTACACAACAACAGTCAAACATCAGCAGTTACTCCACATTCTGAGGATCACTTGACATCCTGTGAACAGACTAGACCATCAGATCAGTCGACTCATCTCAGTTGTAGCCCAAATGATTGTAATGGGAATGATGAGAAATCTCGGAGTGATTCATCCAATCCACATTCACAGGAACATTCTCAAAATTCACGTGTGATGAATGTCAGTTTCAATGTTGCCAATTTGATCGACCATCAAAATCATCATGATGACCAATCACATCAGAATATCACTTGTGACAATGATGACGACGGCGAGGGCGAAAAAAGCACCTCAGAAAGGAAGATCACAGATGATAAGCATGGAGAATATGACTCAGTGAATAGACAATCTGTCCCCTGCAAACTGTACTCAACTACACCTAATCATCAGTTGTTAGATATGGAGGATGAATTGTTGTTATCAGTGTCGAATAATTCTTCAGCGTCAAGTAATACAGAGAGTCCATTAGATTATTCATTAATTAAATAAATAAGTAATTAATTGATAAATAAACCACCTCATCTTTTTTTCTTCATCTCATTATTTGTTATTCTTTATAAATATGTATATATCGCCTTCATTTTTCAAACCTTGTAAACTCTACTCATTGAAACATTGACGTTCAAGATTCAATTTTTTCCCGCCACAATTGAAAATTTCAAATTTTCCAATTTATGATTCACTTAAATTGTATGTAGGAGTTTATGTATACGTATATATTAGTGAAAATGAATCTCTGTATAAATAGATTTCCCCTCATCTCACCTTATTCTTATCTCTATGATTTCTACTCTTCATTTTTATCGATCGTAGTTTCTTTTATGATTAAGTATGATGATTATGATAAGTAGTGTAACACATTGAGATTATTGATAAAAAGAGGATTCTTGTTTTTATATTGATTGTTTGATTTACCATCCCATAAATTTCTTTATTTTCAAGTCATTTGATTCGTTTTAAGTTTGGTCAGGGATTGATACCAGTTCAAACGGACTAAGTGCAGATGTAACCTCATCCTACTATGGCACTTGTCAACTGACGTAGACGTGATATCCGGCTATCCATCTAAGGATGTGTGTACTGCTCAGTAGGTCACTCAGCCCTCATTTCTGACTATAAGATATGAACATTGTAAGTGGAAGATGTGGAAAGGCTAGCTACATTTGATCAGACATTGTATACATCCTTTCCCCAGTGTTAAGTGGTGAATATAGTGACAGGTAATGAGTTTAGGCTCAGTGTTAGGGCAGGAAGGAAGCATGGTCAATTGATGAGGTTGTAAAGCAGCTACATCGATGGAGGTGTCTTTGACGTGTGTTCTGTATGTCAGGCCATCTCTTTCCTCATTGATGAGCTGTGTTAGCTGGCATCAGATTAGTTTGGAAAAGAGTTAGAGAGATGGCTAAATGAAAAGACAACGTCAGTCCACGTAGTCTTCGACTGTTCATCTGAGCCAGTCAGGCTGGGAGGTGTAGGTCGCCTGGTTGAGGTTATTGAGACACTGGATATATTGGTTTTACATTCTTAATTATTGTGATATCAGCCGCATAAAAAGTCTTTTCAACCATATCAACCTTCAATCTTTGTCTGATTGTCAAGCTGCCATGATCCCCCATATATAGGGTAGCTTGTTGTACACGTATTCCTTAGCGGGGAGTTGGAGAATGGGTCTTGGTGTTCCACTGACTACTATATATCTCCTTATGAATTTGTCTGGATATTTATTATCTAGACCAGAGTTTGTGTCAACTTTCTTTCTTCCTCATCGAGTGTGTCAGTCTTCATTGCATATTCTTTGGATTATACTGAAGAGGCACCTAGCTCACTAAGTCTCTTTTGTACCGAACAGGGGAGAAACTGTGATAACTGAGATACTGTTCTGTCCTGTCCGGGTAGTTTTTCTATAAATAGATCGTTTTATTGACGCATCAAGCCGTCGACTAAGCAATATGTCTAGGAAAGATAAACAATTATCTTCCTTTTCTACAGACATATTGAAGTGATATGCTATTCTGAACTTCATTCATTCGAGTTAAAATTGAGGTGGCAGAACAAGGCGCTTATCACTTATGATTACAATACCATCTAAATACCTTCTATAAAGTGGCAGGCACATTTTCGATTAAATCCTGCGACAAATTTTGAATGTACAACATATAGATATCAGCTAGAAGGGGCCCTAACGGACTTCCCATGGCAACACCATCAACCTGCCGGAAACAATTGCCTTCGAATGTAAACCTAACATTGCTAGTACATAGAAGTAATAAATCCCTTAAATAGGATATAGGGAACGGGATTAGAAAATTGTTTGTGGCAATGTAATCACACAAAATGTCAACTGTTTTAAGTAAAGGCACATTAGTGAATAGTGAAATTTATAGCTGGGGTTTTTCCCTGCCAACATTGTGTGAATAGTGGAAACTCGGTATGTAATAGGCTTCTATACTACTGTAAAATTTATAAGTAGTGTAATGCATTATCAAGACAAAAGGGCGCGAGTCAACATTAGTTAGAGAACTATCGATGGAAGAAATAGACTTCTTTGTCTCTTCGTTAGGGATTCTTCCTCAGCCATAGAGTCTATGAATTTCAGTTTATGATATAAGAACGATTACCATTCATCCATTGGGTAAGACTTTAAATGGTTCATGAATTCTTATTTATTTATTTATTATTCCCTTGGGTGTCGAGTGAAACATAGGACTTCAACAACACATCTCCACTTTGTTCTGCTTGTTGCTGTCTTCTTCAGCTGGGTGCACGATTGCGCATAATCCCGCGTCGCCTCCTTCTCAAATGATCTCCTCCATGTTACCCTTTCACCGACCACCCACTCGTTGCTTCCAACTGGAATTCCAATCGATCGATGGCTTGCATTGTGCGCGATTTCATTCGACGACCTCCTCAGTAGCGTATGCCCGATCCATCTCCATTTTCTCCTACATATTTGTTCAGCAATCATCTCTCGCTCTCTGTTTTTTTACCAGAGTTTCTTGTTACTGATTCTTTCTGACCGGCTGGCAATTTGAGCTACAGTATGGAGCCAGAGAAGGGGACAGCTGTTGATAAAAGTTTGTAACTTGTTGGAAATGCTTTTCTTGACACGTAGTGCAAGTATATGACCGATGTAGAAGAACTGACTGACTGGCTTCACATTTGTGTTGAATAGAATCCGAATTTTGTTCTGTATGCTGGCTGAGTGAGTGAGGCAGAAGATTTTCAAACTGGTTTCAGGTTGATGAAGGCATATCTTGTCTTTCTGATTCTGGTGGGCTTTTACATCTTCATCCGTTTCGTGTGCCTTCCTGGATAGACAAGTGAAGGAGGTAACCTCTGTTAAATCTCTCCCTTTGATGGTGATTAGTGCTGGTTGTTGTTGTTGCTGCTGGTTGGTTATCTTCATCACCTCTGTCTTCTCTATGTTCACCTGCAGTCCTTTCTTCGCTGCCTGCCGCTTCATCCACTTTGTTGATTTCCACCTTCAAGTTTTCGAGTTTGTGTGACATTAAACACAAATCATTCACGCACGAAATCCAGATCTTCTAGAGTCATCTTATCGGTCAGTTCAGCGTATTTCTGTCTTCTCATAAATTCTAAAGACTTTCATAAACAGCTCCCTTCTCTGCCTCGACAATGAAGAACAGATGGCTAAAATAAATAAGTAACATAAGACTCTGGGAAAAAATTAACCAGGGATCTATTAACCAACAAATATACGAAAGGGTGAAAGCCCAGTGGAAAGTGACATGGAGGAGATTATGTGAGGTGGAAATTAAAGCTTATGGGTAATAGTGGAACCAGATAGAAAAGAGACTGCGTTGAATAGGGTGAAATGAAGATGTGCTCCGGCTGAAGCCCTATGTTCCACTCAGAATCCTAGGGGATACTAATTATTATCATTATTATTATTATCATTATTCCCTTGGATTCCTAGTGGAACGTAAGGCTTCAACAACACATCTCCACTTTGTTCTATTTTCTGTCATCCTCTTCAGCTAGGTCCATTATTTTCAAAAGTCTTTCATCTCTTCCTAGTCATCCCAGGACGACCCACTTGTCGTTTCGCACTCACCTTCTACTCCAGTGAAGGCCTGCATTGCACGTGATGTCATTCGACGGTTTCCTCAACGTATGTCTAATCCATTTCCAGATTTCTACTACATATTTGTTGAACAATAGGTTCTTGGTTAGTCTGTTGCCAGAGTTTCTTGTTGCTAGGGGGAATAATAACAACAACAATAATAGTAAATTGCGTCATTTCCCAATTTCCTGGACCACTATCCAGCTACTGTCATCAATCATTAGCTACTCTTACATTCCATTTTGGTTAATGTCACAGGTCAAGATTTTTTATAAAGATGTCACAAGATTTGTGTCCCACATCGGTTACTGCTGAATAATGGAAATCAAACTGAAATCGTCAAAGTTCCCTTCTCAGAAAGCTGTGGATTTTCAGTAGCTGTCGTGGAGTTGGTTATTAGGGGGTGAGGTTGTTAGCCCTACTCTCCCTCTTTTTCTTGCTTTACTATCTATCGACTAGTGAAATAGACAAGATTTAAAATTGCATCTGCTGGGATTCGAATCCTGAACCACTGGTTTGCTAGTAAACCACCAATTCGTATGATACTATTGATAGTTTGTACTAGAAACGGATAGAAGAAAGAAGATCAGGGATAACAGCGTACATTTATGCTTCGATTCACTGCAGATCAATGTCCTCGACTTTGATAACTGGCGATTTATCCTCCTTGATAATCACTACTACGACTGTGCTCAAGTTTACAGTGGTTCATTCCACTTAGTATTTCATCCTACCGGTATATCACAGAAAAGACCATAGATACATTTTACCGCTACAGTCGATAATTATGAGGATTTCTACATTAAGATTTAATAATGTAATATATATTCCCAAATCATGAATTAAAAGTCAATCGGAACGAAGAATATTCTTTTCAATACATCCTTCTCCACTTCAGGTTCTTACAATTATAAAATATAATATTTGTTGTCGTTACAATGGTGGCCAGTTTTCCGGCGGATTTATTTTTAACGTAAAATAGCAGATTAGTTATGGGCTGTCAAAATATATAGTCGTATTTGAGTGTGACAAACGTTGCCATGAAGCAGTCAGTTAGGGGGCACAATTAGTCATGTTCGTCTATGGGTTCGAGATCATTTACCAGCTTGGTTCAGCAAGGGGGAAATTAAGTGCACAATAAAGCTTGATCCTGTCAAACTTGGTCTCCTACACATAGCTGAAGCTGTTGCAATAAGATCGACTAAAACGGAACTTTGTATCCAAAAAAAGAACACGTCCAGACGCTGTTCCTACCGTGGCAAAACTTGGATTGATGATTCTTCTTCTCACCAAGAGTGCTCCTTCCCCTTAACCTTCTTGGCTTTTGTTTTTTCTTTGCCTATTATTACAAATATTATTATTATTATTACAATCATTATTAATATTAATATTATTATTCGTCATA